AATACCTATGATTATAGCGTTTCAGTTTTTGCAAACCATAACGACTATCAGCACCTCCTTTAGACACCGGAAGGCTCTCTAAGTTAACCATTAATTGGTTGATCGAAGACCGGACCTCTTCCAGGAACAGACACTCCATTTCTTTGAGCACAAACTTTGGCATTATTTTCCGATTCTATTGATCCGTTTTAATGCATTAAAATCCATAATTCATTTGAACAAATAGTTGTATAGCAAACAAACAAACCCTTTCCATTTCATTGCATTTCTGGACTCTTCCGTCCAACTCTCTCCTGATGGCAGCCGCCTGTTCATCACCCGAATCCAACTAAACACACAGCAACACACAAATCACCTTTAATAACACTTACACCAGTTATCCAGTTATCAAAGTTATCATAATTAAATAATTAGTCCATAATTCAAAAGTAAAAAAACAATGTCAGACCTGAAGGGCATTATAGAGGAGTTGGTGTTCAAACTTCTTAATGTTGAGGACGTTCTGAAACATATCATAGAGTTGTTCTTTACTGAGGATGAGTTCGGAGGCGAGATTTTGTTGCTGTTGCTGTTGGTACTGTTGCATTTTGGTTCCCGTCAACTTCTTCACGTCGTCGTCACAGCCCCGGTATATGCTGTCAAACTTTGTGAGCCAAGAGGTGACTACAGTCTCTTTGCTGAGACCGTCGATCTCAGGCAAACTTCGGACTCGTTTCTCGATATTGTTTCGAAACACTTCCCGGAAGTCGTGCGAAGAACAGGCGCCGCTCTGAACCATAAGCACCAGTCGATCACTATTAAGAAAGGCTTCGAAATAGTTTTGGATTGCGTTCTGAAAGGCTTCGTCGGCCGGAATCTGAAGCTCTCCCTTAAGGAATGACTGAAAGCGAGCGATGATTTGCTCCAACTGTGAGGGAGTTATTTTGTTGCACCGACGGGTCATATCCGTGGGCTGTTTAGCGTTGAACGGATAGGCAATACATCTCAACACATACACATATAACTGAAGTTTAGTCTTTCTCTCCGCCTCTTCTTTCTCTGCCCTTTCGATGTCATCTAATTTTGAGTTAACCGTCACTTCTTTATTGCCGTCACTATTGGTCGACGGACACGGACT